GAAGAAAGAGCTGCTGAATAAAAAAAAAAAAAAAAAGATAAAAAATAAAAAAATAAAAATAAAATATCACTAGATGGGATTAACAACAGTTTAGACATTTCGGGGGGTGGTGGTGCCATACTATTAAACTCGAAGACAGCAATAGAAATTATCCAAATGAAACACCAAGAGAATTTTAGAAATGAATGAAAAGCACACACAACATACAATAGGCAGAAAGTAGTTATGAAAAAACTACTCAGGAGGCTGAAGCAGGAGGATTGCTTGAGCCCAGGAGTGAATCTTAATGGCACCACTGCACTCCAGCTTGGGTGACAGAGCCAGACTTTGTCTTTTTTAAAAAAATTTACCACTCCTTCCTTCAGCAGTTTACCACTTCCTCTTCTTGGCTCAGGGACACCATCCTTTTGTTGTTTTCACCTCTCTGGCACCTCTTTATCAAGTTTCTTGGCAGGCACCTTATTATCACTGCAAATTCTAAAAGTCAGTGTTCCTGTCCATTGCCCCAGGCCCTCTCTATGCTTCTTCTCTTGATGATCTTATCCAATATCAAGACTTTAAATGCACCCATATACCAATAGCTCCCAAGAGTATATCTCCAGCCCAAACTCTCCTCTGGGTTCAAGGGTAGTGTTTCGAACTGTCTACTTGAGCACTCCACTAGAATGTCTCAAAGGCATTTAAAGTTTACCGTGTTCAAAACTGAACATTCAGTTCTCCCCAACACAAAATAGTGACTCTGTCCTCACGATTCTTAAAGCCTGGGAGTCATCCTTTATGTTTCTACTCCTTTTCTCCTTTGCCCCTCCTTCCCCCACATCCATTCTAGCTGAGATTGCACCTCCAAAAGCTATCTGTGTCTACTTCTCTCTCTCTCCACTACCACCACCAACCATCATGGGCAGGCCACCATTACCTCTACCATGAATGATGACTATAGCCTTCTGAACTATCTCCCTAGTGCCACTTTTGCCCCACTTCAATCCGTTCTCCATGGAGTGGCCAAAGTGAGCTTTTCTTGAACTTTTAGACAGAGTCTCACTGTGTTGCCCCAGACTAGAGTGTGGTGGAGTCATCATACCTCACTGCAATCTCAGACTTCCGGGTTCAAGTGATCCTCCTGCCTCAGCCTCCTCCCCCACCCCCACCCCCGCACCACAAGTAGCTGGGACTACAGGTACTCACTATGACACCAGGCTAATTTGTCTATTTTTAGTCAAGAACCTGTCTCTGTCTCGCTCAGGCTAATCTTGAACTTCTGAGCTCAAGCAATCCACCTGCCTCAGCCTCCCAGAGTGCTAGGATTACAGGCATGAGTCACTGCACCCATTTCTTTTTATTTCTTTATATATATAGAGAGAGAGACAGGATCTCACTCTGTCAGGAGGCTGGAATGCAGTAGTATGATCATAGCTCACTGCAGCCTCCAACTCCTGGGCCCAAGTGATCACCCCACCTCAGCCTCCCAAGTAGCTGGATGTCATTGCACTAGCTAATTTTTTTATTTGTTTTAGACATGGGGTCTCACTATATTGTCCAGACTGGTCTCAAACTTCTAACCTCAAGTGATCTTCCTACATCAGCCTCCCAAAGTGCTAGGATTACAGGTGTGATCTATTGCACTTGACTTTTTGTTTTTTATTTTATTCTTCCCCCACCTCATCCTTCCTTAATCAAACATTACTTTAGAGAGATCTTCCGTAACCTCCCAATTTAGTCTAGGTTTCTCTGCTTTTCTCTCTCATAGCATCTTGTACTTTTCCTTCACGGCTTTGCCACAATTAGTAAATATTTATTTGTGATTATTTGTTCACTTTTTCTCCGGTTGCAAACTCCAAGAGGGCAGACCTACGGTCAGTCTTGATATTTGCTCTCCCTCACTATTGCTGAAAGTTTGCCACTTGTCCCCTAAAGCTACATCAGAAAAAGGCAAGAGATTTGAGGAGAAGGAAGAAAAGTTTATTATTTTTCTGGCAAAGAAGGAAAATGGTAGCTCAAAATCCAATTCCAGCTTCTGAGCAGAAGCATGGAGTTTTTAAAGGCTCTAATCCCACAATCCCATTTTGGGCCTGGACAATCTCTTGGCCTCTGCAACATTCTCCAGACTTCCAACCAGATTAAAGCCATCTTCTAAGAGGATCTCATCCCATCCATCTTCAGCTAAGCCCTTGTGACCTCCACCCAGATGATTCCCTTGAAGATGATTCCCCTGTGGTAAAAAGAATAGACTTTCCAGGCCCCTCCAGACCACTAGCCTATGGGAGGAAAGCACGTCAGTTCCCAAAAAGTTGAGGAGACAACTTTTTTCCAGGAACCATCACCCCTCATTCATTTAGAGTTGAGCACACAGCATGTGCTCAATAAATATTTATTGGATGAAATGCAACTCATCCGTGTGCATTGAAGTGATGGAAAACACTGCTCTGTTTATTAGGAGTAATTTTGATTCTCTACTTAAAAATCTGGATAAATGCTATCAAAGATAGGACCACAGGTAAGTGCCTTAGGTATTTCAGCCCACAGGCCCTCTTTCTCAAGTCTCAATTAACACTCTCCACTCATAATGTGTAGTTTTCTTTCTTTCTTTTCTTTTTTTGAGACAGAGCCTCAAGCTGTCGCCCTGGGTAGAGTCCCGGGGCATCACAGCTCACAACAACCTCCAACTCCTGGGCTCAAGCGATTCTCCTGCCTCCGCCTCCCAAGTAGCTAGGACTACAGGCGCCTGCCACAAGGCTCGGCTATTTTTTGGTTGCGGCCGTCATTGTTGTTTGGTGAGCCCGGACTGGATTCGAACTCGCCAGCTCAGGTGTATGTGGCTGGCGCCTTAGGCACAGGCGCCAAGCCCATAACGTATAGTTTGTGTAATGTGTAACCTGTAATATCAGGTTCAACCAAAATGCTGGTAATACCCCTAAAATCACAGACCAAGTAAAGGAGATTGTGACATGGTCTCTCTACACGTGGCACGTTTGCGTCCCCTGGCCGGAGGACAACGCCCGAGGCTCATCAGCTGCGCTCCAGCCTGCGTAGCGTACCACCCAGTCCCCAGCCCAGACCCGGGGGCTCCGCGGCCCTGCGGTAGGGAGCCGGCTCCCCGCCCCGCGTGACCCTTCCGTGCAGCATGGCGGCTCCCAAGGCCGCGGCCCAGGACAAAGTCTTCCGTACAGCAGGGCTGCTTAAAAAGGGCGATCCACGGCCGCTTCCGCCCAGCTACCGGAAGTTTCCGTTTGAAACCGAGGCGGTAGACCTGGCGGGCTGCGTGCCGGTTGCAGCCGAGTGTCTTCTGAGCAAGGGCGACGAGGACTACAAGCAGGAGGAGCTGGCACCTGGGTTCGGCTCTCCCGGGGCGAAGGACTGGGCTGGATCTGGGGGCAGACAGGATGGGCCGGGAAAGGAGATTTTCTCTTTTCCGACTCGGAGCTGGGACCGGCCGGGTCGCGCTGTCCCAGGGACCCCACCCCCACCCCCCGGCTAGTGCCCGGTGGCCCAGAGCTGAGTAACATTCACCTTGCACCTTCCAGGGCCCAGCCGTGCTGCCCAGTTACGATGACCAGTGTGGATAAGACCGTGTACTGCTTACAGGCTCCCTCTATGCCGAGCGACAGCCTGCCCGCAGGTGAGTGTCCACGCCGCCCTCTACTCACCACCCTGGGCACTGCGGCGGACTGGCCAGACTTGGTCAGGCACTGGAATGTGAGAATCTGATCTGTGGGTGGGAATGGGGGTCGCCGGCAGAAGGAGGGCATTCCGTCTGTTCTGACAACCTGCTCGACCCCCTGGAACCAGGCTGTGGAAGTTTATGATGGGAATTAAAGGAAAAGCCAAATGCTAGGATTTTAGACCTGTCCTGCACCCCTCTCCTGCATCTGTGCTGCTTTAATCAACTAGATTCACATTTCTGGCTATTATAGTATTATTCCCATTAAGCTACGAATCCCCTTCTGACCAGTTATCTGTTTTATTTATAGACTTGGGCTATCTTGAGGAATTGTTTGTTGTCATTTCAAGAGTGGGATCTATACAGTGTCTCTCATTAGCACATTCTCAATAACTATTGAGTGAAGTGAGAGAGTGGACTCAGGCCTAGCCCTGGGAGAACAAGAGACATGGTTAAAAACATAATTTTTAATCCCTGTGCCATCTTGCTTTTTGTTGTTTTGCTTGTGGCTGAAAGTCATCTCGTAGGGTCTGCAGCTATCAAGCTACCTAATCTAGAGATTATAGCATAGAATAAGCTTCAGATGCCAGAAAACTGTTGTGGGAGATTATGGAGCAGCTACGATCCCTTTCCAGATGATTCCACACAGCTGGTCGATGAGCAGTGGCAGGATTGAGCTGTGAAGTAAATAAGCTTTTCTCCAAAGGCTTAAAGGGTTCTATTTGTCTTGTGTTGCATCAGAACCACCTGAACTGAATGGTGGTCCTGGCACCTACAGGACTGGGAGTTGCTGGATCAGCTAGAGACAGGTCTCACACAGCTGTGTCTTTCCCTTAAATGCAGTGCCCCTCTGACAGCCACCAGTGAATAACTCTGCCAGCCAAGCGAGAGATTTTCATCTCTCTGCTTTCTATCCCTGTCCCCACTTTGTGATCATAGGTAACCGAGGCAGTAAAAGTTTTAGGCTATCTCTAAGGTTTTTTGTTTGCATTTAGAGCATGAATTGGTTGTTTGTTTTTCTTTTTCTTTTTTTTTGAGACAGAGCCTCAAGCTGTCACCCGGAGTAGAGTGCTGTGACATCACAGCTCACAGCAACCTCCAACTCCTGGGCTTAAACGATTCTCTTGCCTCAGCCTCCCAAGTAGCTGGGACTACAGGCACCTGCCACAACGCCCAGCTATTTTTTGGTTGTAGTAGTTGCCATTGTTGTTTGGCAAGCCCAGGCTGGATTTGAACCCACCAGCTCTGGTGTGGCTGGTGCTTTAGCCACTTGAGCTACAGGCGCTGAGCCAAGTTGGTTGTTTTTAAGCTTCAGCTTTTTGGGGGGGTTTTTGGTGTGTGTGTGTGTGTTTTTTTTTTTTTTTTTTGAGACAGAGCCTCAAGCTGTCCCCCTG